CCCCCCCACCCCCCCTGGAAGGTTTTGCAGGGGATTTACCTGCCGCCACAGCATTATGGCTGTAAGCCCGGACGACCCCGATTCTCTGGCTAGAAGGGTGACGAGGACTCGTGAGTCCCTCCATGAATGTTTATACCCACTGTGGGGCCCCCTGGCTGACTGACGCTTTTTGGGCTGCAGGCTAGCTCCACTAGACGCTGCCCTGCCGAAGGAAGCCGCAGTCTTGGCAGGGGCAACCCCAGAGAGGGCAGAGTTTTTCCCCCCTCTGAGCAACACCCGCCCCAGGTAGTCGGCTCCCTCGCAGCTGTCTTTGCTGCATTTGGCTGCGGATGAGTATCCGGGGCAGCACCCCCTCTCAGAATTGATGCTGCATTCAGATCTGCTGTCACATACTTGACAAACCTCTCACAGAAGATTCGGGCAAAGTTCTGACTGACTGACTGCTTCTCCTCCTCAACCCAGCTGTCCAGAGTCTTCGCCAATCTGATGAGAGCCTTCTGCTGCAGGTTCTGTTGCTGCTGAGCCTCCTCAAACTGCTTCTGCAGCCGAGAGGTGGCCGTGGGGATGCTGTCGCTGGCTCCTTTGAGGACTGGGGGAGGCATTGTGACAGTCTTCCTCTGCCTCTTGCCAGCCTTTCCAGCGACAAAATTGGCCGGTGACTCCGGCTCCAGTGGCCTGGTGTAGGCCGTGTCGATGTCCTTGGGCGGACGGGAGGGCGTTGAGGGCTCCATGACCACTCAACCTGTGCAGTACACACACGTAGAGAAATCGCAGAGGGCGTGCGATGATATTGAACGGGTTGGGGGGTTAAAATTATACGAAAAACAGTTGGAAAAGTGGAAAATTCAAATGTACCCCTACGTTCGTGGGTAGTTGTAAGGATGAGAATATCTTGTGAGATGAACAGATTGAAAATTTAATAATGATATATGAGAATTGAAAGAAAATATTTCCTAGCTAGACATATGGTAGCAGAACCGCATATCCATTGGATGAAGGCGGAGTATAATAAATAATAATAATAATAATCAGAGAAAAGAGAAAAAAAAAAAAAAAGATTCAATTTAAGTATAATAAATATTAAAAAAAAAAAAAAAATAAATAAATAAATAAAAAATACAAGCAAGGAAAAAATAAAGGAAATGAGTTTTAAGAAAAGTCTAAAGACTCTCAATTCATTCACTTTTATCTCACTTTTCATCTTTCACTTTCTCTTCTCTCTTTCATCATCTCTCTCATTCCCTTTCTTCATCACTCTTGCTCAATATTCCTTTCAGTATTCATAAATTACCAGCACTCATTTTGAGTATAGAGGTATAGATAAATGTCTATTTCACAAGACATTCACCTTCTCACTTCTTCTCTTTCTCGTCAATTTATTCATTCTCTAATATATCTGATTAATGAAAGCATTTCTCTTCATCTTCTTCTTTCACTTCTTCATCATCCGGGGCATCTGCTCTCTCTACTCTACAGATGTCATTGCACTGCGGCCATCAGCATCTTCACAACTTTCTTCATTGACTTCTCAATCAACCTCTCCTCAATCAACCTCTTCATCACAGAGTCTTCAAAGCTTAACATCTCCAAAACTCTCATATTTTTCTCCATACTCTCCTCTTTCTCTAATATCTCTGCTCTGAATGAATCAGATACAATCACTGTGGTGCACTCTATAAAGTGTAATAAGCTTGATTCTTTATCTATGTCATGACATGAGCTATTTATGCTCACGGATGATGTATAGCTATTGCTTTAATAGGCAAGTGTTGATATGATATGATGTAATGTAAGGCAAGTGAGCAGAGTGGGCATGGAGCATAGCAAGGCGTAGCACACTGTCTTCAAAATCTGCATCTCTGCAAACTCAGCTGTCATTCAATGCTGAGATCACAGAGCATTCATTCCAGCTCTGTTCTGAGCAGACAGCATCATCAAACAAAATGCATTTGCTACCGAGTCTCTAACCTAGCAAGCTTCTCACTGGTATAAGGTAAGGTCGGGGCTTATATAGTGTTGCTGAGCTTGTTCACTAAGTCAGGAGGTAGTGCCACTATCACAGGTTAAGATATAACATCAAGAGGAATATCTAGGATGACTAGTAATAGCTACGGCGGCGGCCTGAGGTAAACAGTATGAGTACCTAGTAGGGCTTACAGGTAGGGGCGAAGGCTTAAGGTATGCGTCGTGAAGAAGTATACTTAAGGTGAACTTATAGTCGTACCATGTAACTGAGTATAAGTAAAGGTAGTAGAAAAGTAAGTAAGTAAGATGAAATTGATCGTGATCAAGAAGATAAGCTTCTTGATCCTAAGGGTAATGAGTGTGTTTATATACATCGAGATACATGAGGGTAGCTCGGATAGCTCTTGCCAAGATAGCTATCAGAGCGAGGATAGCTGTGATCACTCCGCTCACTCGAGTGATCCGAGTGATCCAGGTGATCCACTATGTCACGAGACCTATTGTTCCTATTGGTTAACCGGATCTTTTCTTATCCGATGTCTAGCTTGCATGTTGTGGCTGGCCATATTCTCTCTGACTGTCACCCTCACAAAAATAAACACTCACCCGCACATAATGCACCTCAGAAGAGGTGTATCACACATTTAATATCATTATCAATATATCAACATTGTTAAGAGCACTACTATCTATCCAAAAACAAATTCGAAGAAAGGGAAAAAAAAATAGAAATTTAAAAAAAACACTTATAAATTTGCAGAATTTTTCTACAGAGACATAAATCTCATAACATTTTTAAATATTTGATTTCAACATATATTAAAAATTAACAATCTTAAATTTAAGAGCACAACATTCACACAAAATCTGACTGTTATGCATCATGTCATTAAAGTTAAAGTTAGAGCAATATAACAAGTAATCAGTGAATGATGCTATACTAAAACAAGTTAACGAACCATGTGATCACACTAATAACATCATCAGCAGAGAACACCAGTAATAATACATGATAAACACTAAGAGAATGACTTATTTAAAATTAAAATATTTAAAGAAACTTATTTCAATGAAAAGAAAAAGGAAGAAAATTGATAAAGATATTTTAAAAATTTCTCTTGAAATGAGAAAAAATTGTAACAGAAGAGTAAAAAGCTTTAATGATGATCAAATTAAAAAAGAAGAGAAATTTTAAAAGAAAAACAAATTCTTTTTGTTTCTCTATACATAACCTCTAACAATCAAAGAATCCACCAATTCTATCCCATTAAAAAATGATAACAACATGTATACAAGCTATATAGAGGATGTGATTGATACACTGCTATCAACAAGCAGCACTTACAATACAAAAATGCAAACATTTACTAGCAAGCAATTTATACAATCACTGAAAGCAGCTCTTATAAAAAAAAGGGGCAATTATAATGCACTTGTTTATTATTTCCTTATTATTATATTATTTTTATTTATATCTTTATTTATTCTTGCCTCTTTCTATTATACTCTCGCTACTGCTATTTCTATATGTATATATATATTGATGTATGTATTTTGCACATCTTTTTTCTCTTTCTTTTCCTTCTTAGCGATTAGCTACAGCTACACTACTATTATTACTACTATAATTACTATTGTTATTATCTTCCACTACGCTATATACTATCTTCTACTATTCACTCTTCACACTGTCATCACCTTTTACATCAATAAACTTTATCATTTTACAAAATCTGTGTTCAAGTAAAAATGATATGTTCAATCTTTTCACTTATGATGTGAGCTATCAAATCAGTGATAAGATTTTTCATTGATCTAGCAGAGGGTGGAAAAAGACTTTTTGATGAAAATGATCTACTCACTAAAAAGAGTATTAGTTATTAACTAGAAATAATAAATGATGTTACAAAATACTGATGAATAATTTTAATGATGTTAAAAGATAAATCTACTGTGAAGTTGATGAATTTCATCACAGACATTGAAGTAACTATATAATGCTATGTAGAAACTCTACATTGAAATGATGGCAATGAGTTTGTAAGAGATAGGCTACAAGAGTAATTACAAGAGTAGTGTGAAGTACGCACAAAGGATATTAAGAAGGTAGCAATCTCTATTGTTCAAAGCTAATCGCTGATCTCCTAAAATCCACGGATATCAGCGAGCATTATATAGATAATATTGCCATCGCCACGTATCTATCGCCACGTATCTATCGCCACGTATCTATTTCCTAATATAGATATCTCCGTTGCGCCTATTACAGAGTTTAATGATCAGAGTCTGAAAGTCTACTATTAGAGCAGAGAAATTCTGTATGAAACAACTACATCTGACACACTGCAATCAAATAACTCTGCAGAATATGTCAACAAAATTATTATAAAAAAGATAAAAAACTTTCTATTTGATAATAAATTGATTAAGAAATTGTGAGGTGAGATAATGCAAGCTGTGATCATGATGATCAACATATCTTCAACATTGATCAAGATATACAAATGCAAGTGATAAGTTCCATTTACATCATTTAAAATATGAACTGAGATGCAATCTACTGCTCATTGAATATGCATGTATGTATGTATGTATGTATAGGTTTAACGTCCCGGAGAAAACACGGGCAGCGCCCGTGTTTCAGAAGCCTCCCGAAGGGCATGGAGACGTGCTACGCTGGAGAGATTTCTATGTACACAGAGAGAGAAAACAGAATCCAGGTGGCAACTCTTGAGAAGACTCAGCTCATTGCAAAGGATTTTTCTGAGCTGCGCATCCACTGCAGTAGTATCAGAATTCATATCTCAAAATATATTTATGATTTCAGCAGTAAAGAAATGAAAATTAAAGTGATCAATTACATCTCTATATTCTTGAACAGTATACTGCTACAACATGAGATAATATATATGCAATTGTCTACAAAAATTAAACATAATAAGAAGAGTCTAATTAATCTAATCTGTTAAAATCTTTATGAGATGAAGCAGATAATGGAAATGTGGTATTTCCTTGCAATAAAGCATCTTATCACTTTAAAGTTCAAAATCTCACTGTATGATGATGGATTTTTATATCACTTTATTTGTAAGATTTATCTAACATTACACATTGATGACTGTTGAGTAATAGAAGTTCAAAAACAGCAATTGAATTGAATATTAATAGAGATTGTAAAAAAGTTTGAGATATAGAATGTTGAAGAGAATAAGCTCTATCTTGAAATGAAAAAAATAAAATGTCAAATAAATAGTGATTTAGTAATTATTCAGAACTATTATATCAATGAAATTCCTGAGAATTTTAAAATAAACAAGATCAATTCAATCAATATATTGATGATGACTGATATGCATCTAGAGTTCTCATTAGATGAAGATAGTAAAATAGATGATGATTTTACTGCTATTAAATATTGTTAAGATTTAGAATTGCTACAGTATTTGATATCAAACAGTAGATCAGATTTGATATTTGCAATCAATTATTTCTCACATTTCAATTCACATTCACATAAAAAAATGCTGAGTGGTATTAAAACACATCTTACATTATATCAAGAAAATAAAAAATCATGATATTCTATACAAGAAGAAGATGGTTGAGAGATTCATGTAAGAAACCCGCACTAAGGTGCTAGTGCTAGGCCGGAATTAGCGATAGCCTTAAAGATATGACATCGCCGAACATAGCACCACCAACGTCATATCAGGTTTGAAATCAAGGCATTATCTTGCCACTTGCATCATACTACGCCATCTACATCATAGCAAGTTCGATCTGCTTACAATACTGTGTGTATATAGCTAGCAGCTGGTCCAACCTTATAGGGACCAGCGGATCATTCTGTTATAATCTGACCCCTACGTTCTACACCCTCAATATCTAACTACTTGATCCGAATCCTCTCCGATATATCACCGTATTATCTCCTACTGCTTGATCCTCGTAGAGTCCTAAGGACCAACCGAAATATAAGCAGCTATTTCCAACATCGCTGCTTACAATTCAATTTTATCATGTATAGTGATTCAGATTGAGCAAAGGCAGACCTTCAATATAAGTTAATTACAGATTACATTATTCTGCTAAATGAAGTATCAATCTCATAGCAGTTGCAACAGCAGACCTCGGTTGCAAAATCAATTATTGAGACAGAGTATATCACAATGAGTGAGGCAGTATGTGAAGTAATCTGATTGAATGACATGTTATATAATGCTGAATTGATAGAGAGAAAAGTGAAGATATGCTTACATTTATGAATTGACAACAAGAGAGTGGTAGATCTAGTGAAAAGAGAATCCTTAACAAGAAGATTGCATCATATTGAGATTAGATAGTATATTCTCCACAATTTGATTGAAAAAGATGAAATTATGATGGAACATGTTGGTTCTACAGTCAATATAGCTGACGGCCTCACCAAGCCACTGGCAAGGCCTGCTTTTGAAGAATTTGTTAAAAGAATTGGGTGAATGGAGATTGGAAAAAAAGGTTGAAGGTAATAGTGGTACAGCAGATTACAGAATTTTGCTTGTGTTATCCTGTTTTTTACAGTTATTGCTGTACAGGCATCTATTCCCAAAGAGGAAATCAGGGTCCAAATCTTGTAATTAATTGTTATTGCGTTTTTAGAAGAATTGAGCAAAGGGGGGCCCCGGGCGGCAGTGCATTGGCGGCGCTGTAGCATGGGGGGGGTGGTACTACGGCTACCCTATCACGTGCCCCCCAACATATTGTATTGCTCTCGCGTAGTTACAGTACTGTAGTTTAGAAAATGATGAAGAACGTTATCCTCCTACATAGTGTGGTCACGTGGCATTCTAGCGAGCGATAGGATGCCAAGATTGACTGCTTATCGGAATCCGAATAAACCCTTTAATTATTCATCCAAGTTCTACTAGCCGATTAGATTTCAATTGCTTTAGTAAAAAATATTATTGAAAAATAATATTTAAGAGGATATTCTACAAGATTTTTATGCTTCTGCAGAGATGCTTGGCTCTTGAACAGACTGAAGGGAGACTTAAGAGCAGAAAAGAATGGTGGGACGAACCACTTTTTGTGGCATAGCATAGGATGGTAGCCACGCTCGGATAAATATCTTTCGATTGATTGTGTATATGTTGCTTGATCGATGAGAACTGCAGTTGGACAAGTGAGTTTAGATGGATCATGGATAGCTAGCTAGCTATAAACGGGAGCCTAGAAATACCACCAGGCGCCGTCTCTCAGCCAAACTCCCAATCAGAACGAGAAGCGACAGAGGGGCACTTGTAATTCAAGTTGTCATCAGATTGTGCTCAAACGTGATATAAAGAAAGAATCCCAGAAGCGTCAAGAAAAAAAGGCGTCATATATCCGGGGCCTGAATACGAGCATCACAAATAGCACATTTGCCATTACGGTCATACCGGCATGTGATTGGAAAGCCACCAGAAGTTCAACCCAAATTGATAGAATTGAAGGCATATTTTTGGCATATGTTGCTGCTGTTTGATTATTCTTATCATCTTTTCTTCTTTGTTTTTTTTTTTTTTTTTTTTTTGGTCCCTTGTCTCTCAAATACACTTATGTTCCCCTGCAGGCCAGAAATGGAATGGGTCGTATCAAGCAAAATGTATACCTGCCCTCTTGGACGAAGGTCAGTTCACAGTGGAACACTTCATTTATACAGGTGGTATAGTTTGTCATCTTCGCATTGTTGACCAACCATGTGGCAGAACAAAGCAAGTACAAGCAGAAGAACAGGAAAATTATAAAGTCATGTCATTGGTGATGTTTTGAAAGCGAGAAATAGAACCCAGTGATGATGGAATATCAGTAGAAGATGCGAAGAAAGACAAGCAATCCATACCCAGTGCTGGCGCTAAGAGGATTCAAGAAGGAGTCTGTACAGATTACATCCTTACATCCCTGCCCATAGATAGTACTCAGTTGTCTCACATGCTGCGCCTGTCCCATTCATCAAACCCGCCAGCCCCTTGATAGGACAATGACTGTTCTCCGTAATAGCGATATAGTAGACAAAGAGTGTTTAACGGTGGTCAATCATTGTCAATCACATAAGACATAAAGCAGCCCCTTGGGGAGGTGGAGATACATCTCCTGAATGGATAAGTACTAGGAATGGGTGTTTGGTTCTTCCCTCCAGGAGCTTCTTCTAATGTTCTGGTTCCACGGCTCCGTTCCGCGGCGCCGTTCCGCGAAGGGCTCTTGGAGGCTATTATCGGCTCTCTTCGGCTTGGCTGCCAAGACAAGGCCCTTTGAAGCGGCTAAGCGCGGAATGTTTTTGACTCAGACAGAGACTTTAACCTGAAATACTCTGGGTGCTATCTACTATCTGGGTGCTATCTGGATGATATCTGGATGTCAAAGCGTAGGGCATGGTGGCGTTTACCCCCTCTTCTCAGGCATGAAGGTCAAACTTTTGGCAAAGTGTTTTGTGTCCTTCGTAAACCCGCCTGATCGCGGTAAGGGCAACAATGTGCACAATTCAAGCTACATGGATGATATCATCAGGCTGCGTAAACTGCCGCTGAAGCGACCCACACCAGCCTCTGGACCAATGAGCAGCTACAGGACGTTAGCTTTAGGATGAGGCTGCGCTTGGCAACTTGGATCAAAAACGACTAGAATATTCCTTTTGGCTCCAAACCACAGATCTTCCTATCCCCAAAATAACCGGCTGGCATCGGCTGGCGCTTTCCTTGGCCCTGTGATGCAGCGGAATCACGGTGCGCTGTGGGAAGCTCCAAACATGGCAAATCCGGAAATCGGGCGCTCCATCCAGAGCTATCTATCTATGGCTTGCTCGTTTTGCCTGTTTCCTCATCGCCGATATGAATGACGGCACTGTCCCATTAGGTTTGCAGCCTCTTTCATTCTCTCCTCATTTGTATTCAGTGTCAGTGTTTCTTCTATCCATATATTCCTTCCGATGTCTGTTGGTGATACGATCCAAAGACAAATGCCAGCTACCGTTGACAGCCCTGCCCGCATGGGTGAACCAAATGCAGAGACCATTCAGCCAACTGGCGTCAAGGCCGTCAACGGTGTTAATGGCCATTCGAATGGCCATTCGAATTCTATCGACTTAGCAGAATACCTCTTTCGTCGTCTCTATGAGCTAGGAATCCGATCTGTCCATGGCCTGCCGGGTGATTACAATTTGGTTGGTGAGCAGCTCTCATTCAAATTCTCTTCTCGGGTTTTAACACCTTCTTCTACCTCTGGTTTTCTGAGAGCTTAGCTGACGGCTAATTGTGTTTGTCTCGATAGCCCTCGACTATTTACCCAAGGTTGGCCTGGATTGGGTTGGCAATGCCAACGAACTGAATGCAGGTATGTGTTCAACTTATCACCCCTTACAATCTCCCAACATTACTTCAAGACTGGAAACGAGCAGCTGACCCGTGTACGATCTGCCCAGGTTATGCCGCTGATGGATATGCTCGAGTGAAAGGTGTTTCGGCCATGATCACCACGTTTGGTGTTGGCGAATTGTCAGCTATCAACGCTATTGCCGGAGCATATTCTGAGTACGTTCCGGTGATCCACATCGTAGGCTCGCCGTCAACCGCGTCCCAGAAGGATGGAATTCTCCTTCACCACACACTTGGAGATGGCAACTTCGAGGTGTTTGCAGAAATGAGTAGACGTGTTTCGTGCGCTGTTGCCATTCTAGATGATCAATCAAGTGCAGCTGCCATGGTTGACAACGCTCTGCGAGCCTGCATCCTAAAAAGCCGCCCGGTTTACATTAGTCTACCTACCAATATGGTTCAGGCAAAAGTGGATGGAGATCGGTTGAAATATCCGATCGACCTGAGTGTCCCTCCCAATGATCATAAACGGGAATCACACGTTGTCGACTTGATTACAAAGCTGATCCAAACTGCCCAACGGCCAGCACTGCTTGTTGATCTTTTAGCGTTAAGGCATCATGTAAGTACCAATTCTAACCCTGACTATCGGAATAAATACGAATTTGTGCTAACATAAACCATCATGAGGCGGTAGGTTACCAACGACATTAACGAGTTCATCACCAAATCCAACATTCCTACTTTCGTCACACCCATGGGGAAAGGGGCAGTCGACGAGACGCTGCCTCAGTTCCAAGGAATCTATGTAGGAGAAGCATCTACCTCGATCATCCGCGAACATTTCCACGCATCAGACCTTGTCCTGAGCATCGGCCCGCTTAAATCCGACATAAATACTGGCTGCTTCACGTCAAAAGTTGACCAGATTACAAATATCGAGTTCCACGCTGAAAAGACAATTGTTGGATTTTCGGAGTTCCCGGGCGTCAGGATGAAAGGGGTTCTGCGCCGGTTGGTCAACGCCCTCGACACGCTAGATATCCCAGCACAAATACCGTTAAACCCTGCCAAACGAAAGCGAGTGGAGGAGGATATTGCTGATAACCAGGAGTTGACCCATGACTGGCTCTGGCCGAAAGTCGCGGAGTTCCTGAAGAACCAATGACATCGTTATCACTGAGGCGGGAACCTCTAAATTTTGGCGTGTGGAAACGAGATTCAGAAAAAGGCACCATCGGGATAAGCTCTGTTCTGTGGAGCAGTATTGGTTTCTCGCTGGGTGCCTGCCAGGGCGCTGCGTTGGCAGCTGAAGAAATGACGGACGCCTCTCGAAGAACGGTGCTGTTCATTGGCGATGGCAGTTTCCAACTCACAGCCCAGGAACTGAGCACGATCATTCGTCATAAACTCACCCCTACAATGTATGCTTCCTTCCCCCTTTCCCCCTCCCCTAACTTTAATAGTTATAGTCATCCTTTTTCTCCGAAAACAATCCCATCCAAAAACGAGGGCGGCATATTTCCATCAATGCACACCAAAACTAACCTTCTTGGCCACAGTTTCATAATCTGCAACAACGGCTACGTAATCGAGCGATACGTCCACGGCATGCACGCGGCCTACAATGACATCCAGCCCTGGAAATTCAACGACATCGCTGCAGTCTTCGGCGCCACGCCGGGTACATGCAAGACCTTCCAAATCCGCACCTGCAAGGAGTTGCAGGATCTATTCAACGATCGCGAATTCTGCTCGGGCAAAACTCTTCAACTCGTCGAGCTCTATCTTCCTGGTGAAGATGCGCCGATGTCGATGAAGATGCTTGCCGCGGCGGCTGCGAGGCGGAATGCGAAGAAGTGATGACGACTTATGTTTATTATTATTTTATTATTAATTTTTTTTTTTTAATTTTAATTTTCGGAGGAGGGTTTTCTTGTTTGCGGCTCGGCCCTTGAGCGAGGTGTACATCGATATATTATTTTCACCGTGGCTTTACTCGTTGGCATTAGGGAAAGGATTCCGTTTTCGGAGTTATTATTGGTATTAGTCCTATTTTTCTCTTTTCTTTCTTTCCTTCCTTTTTTTTTTTTTTTTTTTTTTTTTTTTTGGACATTTTTCTGGAGTTAGAGAGCATTACACTTTTGAGCGTGCTTACCTGTTATTCCTTTTTGGCTTTGGTTATTCCCTTTTCTATTATCCTTGCTTTTTTTTATACGTTCGTGTTTCGCCCTTGATTCTCTGCTTTCGGGTGATCTGTGGCCTGTGTGGCCTGTGACCTGGTAACCTGTCTTTCCCCTTTTTTGAATTTTTTACATTGCTGTGTTTTGCTCCTCTTATCTGCTTGGTTCCAATATACTTGTGTGTAACTCTTCTTTCTTCTTTCTTCTTTCTTCTTTCTTAGCTGTTGGCTGTTGGCTGTTGGCTGTTGGCTGTTGGCTGTTGGCTGTTGGCTTTTCAGGATACGGACGGATATTTGACGACATTTAACGACCCGATATAATAAAAAATCAAATTTAGAAAAACACCAGTGGAAAATTTGAGATTTTTTTTTTTTTTAAGTGACCACGTAGTTTTAAACTAACTAGTGGAGAACCCCTGACAACCTGCATCGCTATTATCCTTCGTTACTCTCCCCACATAGCAGCGGCTGGCGGAGATCGAGAAATCGAGAGATCGAGGAGAGGAGAGGAGAGGAGAGGAGAAGAGAGGAGAGGAGATGAGATGGGATGAGGGAGGAGTTGGGTGATGGAAGAAGTAAATTCAAAGTTTTCGATCGAAGCCATAACTAGTTCCGCCGTTCAAGAAAAAAAGGGGATGTCTCTCTCCGTTTCACTTCGCGTTTTCATTGTACGGTTGCCATATCCCGAGCTTCGATGGATGTAGTTTTGGATAACTAACTAACTCATCTCATCAAATCGCAATTTTCCGATAGTCCCTCTGTCACCGTAGCTAAAGGCGACAAAGGGTGATGGAAACATGGTAGTTGGAGTTGGCAGTATACAAGGAGGGTCATGTCATGCATGACTTTTGCATTTTCAGGATACACCCTACAGGGAGGGTACTGGTACTCTCCTAGCATATAGGCGTGGTGTGGCATTTGAAGTTCTTTACAAGCTCCGAATCACCACAAGGGTTCAATGTCCAATGTCCAAGGTCCAAGAAAGTTTTTTTTTGAGGTGAGGAGGACCACCAGGGGGTTGGAAGGCAAAAGCATGATCAATATGTAATGCCCTTTTTTTTCTCTCATGCAGTGACCACGATATAGTTGTAGTTAGTTGTACGGAGTAGTTAAATTATTATCGCCAAGAGAAATGGAAAATGATATACTCAGCAAAGGGGATCCGTTGGGTCCGTTGGGTCCCTTCCCCGCCTCCACCTGGTCATAATAATAATCATCCTTTGCACAACGAGTCCGGGAATAGGAGAATGGGATTGTGCTTTTCCCCATGAAACCCCGGGGTCGACCTAACACCCTAGCCGATTCACGAACGAACGCAACAGCGATGGTAAAATATAATAAAATATAATAACCACTCCCCTTGCTTGTGGCAGGGACAGGTGTGGCGTCGTCGGGCAGCGGGTGACCTGCAAAAGTTTTCCACGGGCACTGCAGTCCAGGGCGTTAAGCAGTCACAAAATGCGCCCAGATGCATGCTATGCGCCTGTCTCGGCCCAGAGGAGCTGGACACCTTGGGGAGGGCCACTGGACAACAGATAACCTGACAAGGCAAACGCTGAGGATTTGTCCAGGATCACCCACCAGTTGCTCCGCGGAGGGCAATGAATAGTGGAAGGAGTGAATACTGGTTGCTCATGGTATTGGAAACGCTCGACGGGGGAAGTCCTTTCCCTTCCCTTTCCCTTCCCCTAATAACGGCAGCCCAGTGACGCAACACTGGCCAATGGCTGGCCAATATGCTGGCTCCCCGATTCCCACCAATTTCCCACCCGCTGTCACCCTCCGCAGCTCATTCGGCGGCCACCGGGTACTTTCTTGCCCTGCGAATTGGCGAATTGGCGAATTGGCGAATTGGCGAATTGGCGAATTGGCGCGTCGGCACGCTCTGGACGGTCTGGACGGTCTGTCTGGACGCCCGGCAGATCCAACCGCTGCTTCCTTCCCCGTTGGCTGCGCACGCGCCAGATGACGCCGGTATGTCACTGCCGCCATCCGATTCGTCGATCCGCCGTGCCGCCCTTCCCGAGCCCCCTCGCGCGATTGTTGCGTGCTTGGTTTGATAAATATGCGGAATAGCCTGCTCATAGCCTGCTCATAGCCAGCTCATAGCCTGCTCCACCGAGTCCACAAACACGCTCAGTCTCTGCTAGGCCGTTATATCTTTCGTTATTTCCCCCCGCGATGGAGCACTCCTCCGGCATTCCCCGAGCGAGGCAGCGGGCGTCCTCCTCCCTATCATCCTCGCCATCATCAGCGTCATCAGCATGGACGTCGGGGGGCCTGGTCCAGGTGGTGTGATCGTGGTTCCACCTGCCTTCCACCTGCCTGGCCAACGGAGCCAATGGAAGTGGATCAATTGCAAAGTCTTCCCTGTCCATGCCGTTTGACGTTTCCCGGGGCGTGTTTTACTGCTTCACTTGGTTACTATTATTTTCCTATCCTGGATATCTTTCTTGCCGTATATAAATACCTCTGGGCCACTGCGAGCCATGGATCAGGCCAACTTCCGCTGCTCCTCCGCAACCCGCAACAATTGAGCTTCCTTTTATTCCTCCCCGTTTACAGGTTTCGATTTGTACACATAGCCCGCCATGATGGAGTCCCGGTTTGCCCGGATCGCTTGGTCGCGTTCCATGGAGAACGCATCGTCCAGAGGGTTGTGTGTATCTTGCAGGTACTGACTGGATCACTTGTCTAGTCTTGTCTAGTCTAGTCTTCTAGCTGTTTTGTCATCTTCATATACTACAGCTCTGCTCACCAACATGTGTGTCTGTCTGTCTGTCTGCTAGGTCTAAATCAGTTATTCCTGCCCGATCAGCCATTGTCGCCCGAAACCAGCGCTGCAACTTGTCCACCGAGGCCGGTAGGTGGCCCCAGGCACTTCCATCGCTATACACCGTATGTGGAGCTGCTAAAATCAGAGATGTGTAATCTGTCGAACGTTTAGCGCCTCCAAAATTCCCCTTCTCTCGCCCGTCCGGAGCTATCCCGCCGCTGGAATATGCGAAACTCAGAGCCACAAACCCCGTGTCCAGAGTCACTCTCTGGGACAACAGTCAGCCATGGCTGGTTGTCAAACATAAGGATATCTGCAGTGTTCTCACGGATTCACGTCTGTCCAAGGTATGAACCCCTGACCCCCTGACCCCCTGATCTTGATATCCTGAGCCTGAGAGTGCAAAAGAATGTCTAGTAGTAAAAGGCCGGCATCCCAACTATTCTATTCTAATCTTCTGCAGGAACGGACACGCGCTGGCTTTCCCGAAATGAATCCCGGCGGCAAGGAGGCTGCCAAAAACCGCCCTACTTTCGTTGACATGGACCCTCCAGACCACGGGCGTCAAAGGTTTGAAAGATTATCCTTCTTTTCTTGGCTTGGAAGGTTGAACTGTTAGGTTGAACTGTTACATCAAGCTCACCGCACATACTCTCTATGCAGGAACATGGTTGCCTCCCTTTTCACAAGGGAATCTTCTGAGACAATGCGCCCGCATATCCAAGCCACTGCAGACGCCCTTCTCGATGAGATAATAAAGCAGGGTTGCGAGAAGCCCGTTGACTTGGTCGAGAAGTTTGCTCTACCGCTGCCATCCTATGTTAGTTTCTGTTTCTGTTTTTGGAAGCTGGATTTCCAGGGCGGAGTTTTTTTTTTTTTTTTTTTTTTTTTTTTTTTTTTTTTTTTTTTTTTGTGGAAACTGACCTAACTACTTTATTTACATCGCCACGAATTAGATCATATACGGGATCCTGGGTGTGCCAAAGGAAGATCTGGCATACCTCACTGAGTGTAACGCCGTCCGTAGTAATGGAAGTTCCACCGCAGCAGCTGCGTCTAATGCCAATAAGTGAGCTGCTTTGTTTTTTTCTCTTTTTTTTTCTCGGGTATCCGGTTAGGTCATGCATGCTGATCGAATTCCGAATGACAATAGGGAACTCCTGGACTACATCGGCAACTTGGCTGATAAGCGACTTGAAAAGCCAGGAAACGATATGATTAGCAAACTTGTTGTGGAGCAGGTAATTCTGATATTTTCCTATTTCCCAGTGGATTGTGTATATATATGCATAAGCAAATGTATCGACTAACAAACCCCATAATGAAAGCTTAAACCGGGCCACATCGACAGACTTGATGTCATCCAAATCGCCTTTTTGATGCTTGTTGCCGGAAACGCCACCTTGGTGAACATGATTTCGCTTGTATGTTCTCGCAGCTGAGCACTACGTACATGTAGTCATGTGCAAAATGACTATGTTCCTAATGAATGAACTTCAGGGCATCGTCACCCTTCTTCAACATCCCAAACAACTCGCAGATCTCAAAGGCAATCCATCACTCGCACCCAAATTCGTCGAAGAGCTCTGTCGCTACCACACAGCATCAGCAATGGCCACGAGGCGCGTTGCTAAAGAGGATATCATGCTTGGCGGCCATGTACGTTTCTGTTCCGTATACCATTTTTGCATCCAGCTTCCGAAACCGAGGTGCTTGTACCCAAATGCTAACTCGGTTATGTTTTCTCCGTCACAGCTCATCAAAGCAGGCGAAGGTATAATTGCCGCCACCCAGTCCGGCAACCGAGATGAAGACATCTTCCCCAACCCAGACGTCTTCGACATGCACCGCACGCGTGGCTCTGAGGTAGCGCTTGGCTACGGATATGGCGAGCATGTTTGCGTCGCTGAGGGACTGGCTCGCACCGAACTTGAGGTTGTTTTCTGTAAGTCGTCCTTACCTTAAGCAGACATGGTGCATATATTCCTACAGTTCATCACTGGTCCACTAACGTCTTACGTCTTAAACCCCACAAAAACAGCAACACTATTCCGACGACTGCCGAACTTGAAGCTCGGCATCCCGCTCTCCGAGGTCAAGTATTCCCCTCCCGACGCTGATGTGGGCATAACGGAGCTGCCTGTTGTTTGGTAAAAGGGTTCCGTTAACAATACTGAACGCACCCTCCCCTCCCTCCCCCCCCAAACTGCCAATAATAGGCGTTCCACACTCCACTCTTTTCCTTATATGCTCATGGGTTTAAAACAAAAAAGAAAGGAAGGAAAGGGGAAAAAAAAAGGACAGGTTAAAATAAAATAAAAAGAAAAACGAGTTTGTTAGAGACTTGGGTCAAAATAGAAATGATTCGAGATTAGATCTATCTGCATTTAATACATTCATCTAACTACATACATTTCTGCTTATCCACTTGAACATAAACATACTCCATCATACTATCCGCTTTCATCGCCTGGCCGCCACTGTTGCATCTCCATGTCTCATATCTGCAATCGATAATAGATGGTCGATTTCCATTGTTTTTCTTTTTTTCTTTTTCCTTTTCCTTTTCTTTTCTTTTCTTTCTTTTCTCTCTCTCTCTCTCTCTTTTTTTTTTTTTTTTTTTTTTTTTTTTTTTTTTTTTTTTGGTCAAAAGCCACAGCTCTCACATATACATCCCTCATAACCCTCTAACTAACCCCCTCATAATATCCTAACAAGTGCCATCTACTACTAAGTAACAACCCCCCTCCAGCTCCAGCTCCAGCTCCAGCCAGGCCAGTCACGTTTGACAATATAGGACAAGGACAAGAGGAACAATTGAGATTGAAGCGGACTCACCTCACTTGGTTGTTATATGGTATATGGGAGGTGGGTGGATTTATTTCCCATGCAGTTATGGAAAGCCGGCGGTGAGTTAGGGATCACTCTAATCTCTAATCAGCTTTCCGCAAGAAGACTCCTGTCGAACGTGGAACGTGGGAACGGCGGATGTCATTCATTCATTCATTCAGCAAGAAAACGGACTCCATGCTATGGATTTTGCTTAACTCAATAAGTAGCGCAGTGTTATTACAATGAATAGTTAATCGAACGAAACCCCCCCCCCCCCCAAGGAACAAGCTCCAAGCCAGCCGCCCACATATAATAATATCATAATCAATCAGTTCATCTTTTAAAATGGCCTCTTGCTGCCCAGCGGCTTTTTGCCCGGAGTCGTGCCCCGTATCTATAGAACAGGTAGCTACGGAGATATTAGTATTAGGGCGATGCGGATGCGGGGGGGGATGAAACATGAACATGAACGTGTGGAAAAAAAAAAAAAAAAAAAAAACGGGGAGGGTTTTAGATTAGATTTCCAGCCATCATCACTCACGGAAAAGGCATCATTGCAACAGTCACAAACCCAAGAAGCGACGTTGCCCATTGATCTCCGAGCTTTTCGTACACTAAAATTTTTCGTTTTTTCGTTTTTTTTTTTTTTTTCCTCGCGGAGAATAGGTTGGTTGGTTGGTACCGGGTCATATAAAAAGAACTTGAAAAGGGGGTCATATTATATTAAACATGCGCATGATGGCTTACACTGAACGCCGAATATGGGGAATGCGGCGGCGAAGATGCTCCTGAGGATCATGTTCGCACACATGGCACTCGCCGAATACACCGGGTACGCATGTACAAGGAAGGTTAGGACCCCGTTGAATGCTAGGACGACACTGGATTATGTAGTTATGTCATTTAGCGGGTCAAAAAAAAAAAAAACAAAAAAAAAAAAAAATCGCTGGTTTTGTTCCGGATATTTTCTGACAATACATACCCTGCACTAAAGAAGCTGCTACCGATAATCGGGACGATCCAGTGGATGGATCCGTGCGTCGTCCAGCCAAACCAGAACATGCCCAGCGGAAGCAAAATCGAAGATGCAATTGCAGGGGGTAATCTGTATTCCGGTTCGCTGGCCCCTGGCTCTCCTCCACTCGCCTCCCGCTTCCGCACAAGGCGTCGGTAATTCCCGTTCCAGAATGGATGGGTCGCAGCGGAAGTTACTGTCCCGAAAAGCAAACCGAGAAACGATAGGCCGACTTGGTATAGCTCAAAACCATAGTTGTTGGTGAATATGGTATAGAAGGCGTCAAGGAAGAGGTAGAGCATTCCAAGGGCTATGGATGTATAAACACACAGACACGTCACCATTGGTTCGAGTAATAGCAACTGCAACGGGCGCGAGAATGACCACATCACCTCCGTCACGATTGATTTATCGGACTTTTCGATCCAGGCATAATAAGCACGGCCGGTCTCCTTTCGCAGCCTCTGTGCTTTATGCCGCAAGAGAACCGGATGGTACGTTTCCGACATGAAAAGGACCATGAAGATCAGCAGGACGCAGCTCCAGATTATAGCAAAGTAGAAGGACCATCGCCTTCGCGTTGCGATTAATCAATTAATGGTAGCCATGGCCCAATTAGCTCGAAATCCTCGCGTTTTAAAACAGCTGACATGAGAGAGAGAGAGTTATTTTGTATTATTCACTTACCAGGAGGTGTATTGGTTAATGAACGCGCCAACCACCAGTCCAATGATGGGGCCTAGGAATGGAGTCGCCGTATAAACCATCATGGGCCGCTGCAACTCATCGTGCGAGAAGAGATCGCTAATCGACCCTCCAGCCACGGTCATGAATGCGCTGCTCGAGAATCCACCGAAGAAGCGTGCGACGAGCATTGTTTGAATGTTTTGTGCGGTAGCGCACGGGATAAGCCATAGAACGAAGAGTGCCATAGCTACCAGGTACAACGGGCAGCGGGCCATATAACTGCAACTCGATTGATTGGCGTTATTAGATTGCTTACTTGTTGTATGTACACGTACATATATTATTAGGTGATCAACAAAACGGGAAAACGGGGACTTACTTCGGACAATGGCGCGAGGAACAAGGGCCCAACCCCAAGACCCAAGATAAAGAGCGACAAGCCCAGAGTGGCAGTGAGCCTGGAGCAGTTGAATTCCACCGTGATTTGTCCATATGTCATCGTGTATAATGCAGATGTGCAAATTCTGTGCTTCGTTAGACTCAAAGAGACCGAGACCTTGTGGTAATGTTTCTCATCAGGGGGGTTGGCGCTTACGTGCACAAGGAGCAGAGTGATATGATAATAACCATAGACCATCGCAGGATCGGAGGGAAGTTTCGCGGATTCGCTGGGTCATCCGGGCCATCCCAATGGACCTCGAGATCCTCATCGTCCCTCTTTATCGGGTTGGTAGTGACTGGGAGCAGGACAACTTCCCAAGCACCTCCCCCTTCGCCAAATGCTTGCACCCCGCCATTCTGCTGAGGTTGGACAATGGCATGGGTTGAATTCCTCTTTGCGTAGCATGCATTCCCCAAATTATCCGTATTAATGGCTCCGTCACTTAGCGGTCTACTATACAATTCTCCGTTGGTTGGCATCTCAATGCGTGAGGGGGCCCAAAAAAAAATCTCAAATGCGATCTAGATTTAGAAAAATGGGCACCCTTTCAGATGGATGGATGATGTCATAGCACAACGTCAATAGATATGTTCATAGAGCTGCACTTTCGAGTTAGAATATCAGTTGTCTGTAGATAGCTTATCATGTATTAATATAGGATGACCTACCTGCCTTGAGCAAAAAACGAGTGAGACTATACAATATCGACATTGTTTTTGATCCTCCAATTACCAGTTAGGCCAAGGAGAGGATACAAGAGCCAATTTATAGCCACTTGTTACGAAGCTCAGAAGTAACCACATAGCATATCCTTTTATATTGGCCCGGATGCGACTGGCACGCATATCGAGGAGACGATTATCGGGACAGCCATCTTAAATCTCTAAATCTCTGGCGTCAGGCTGATCGGGTGCCATAATCCGAAGTAATGCACGATTTCAAAAAAGATTATGGGTCCCGCCTCCATGTTCGTTGAAGCGTTCCCTTGTACCTGCTGCACGACGCGCTCTGCTTTGGGGACATGCATGGGTTTGCCTTGCCATAAGTACACCACTGAAAATATTTTGATCAATTTCAAGGAATTCTCAGTACGCCCCCGTCTGAAAACAGATAAGTTCATAACGCCGATGAGAGGTCTGAAATGGAACGGTTGCTCAATATGCTATTGATGGGGTGAGCGGCCTGATCGACGACGTAACTTATAGTTAACAACCAAGATTAGAATCGTTCCGCTCAGTCATTCTTCGACTTCGAGGTCACCGAAAGCAGCATCCAATTGAATACCTTGATGGGCATTGGGTTAATGAAGGTGAATTAACCAATAATATGCATGTGCAAAGATGATCATCAGCAACCTGCCATTGTTCCGAAGAGGGCTCGCGGCGCCTTACTTGATTTAGATAAGCTTAATTAAAGTTTACAACCTTAAAATATCGCAACCCCGGCATCAATCTTGTGCCGGGCCCTCCTCGCTCATTTGAACCGACGAATGCACCCCCGTTAGCTTACTCTGAGCCCGCAGTTTGCTCTGGCAACAATATAACACATCATATGCCTCCTCGAAACCGGAAAGAACGTCGAGCAGCACAGGCTGCATTCGCAGTCGGCGACGATGATTTTGACTCTGCATCAATCCCCCTTGGCCGCCCTCCGGCAATAACCCTTACGAAAAACCAAAGACAAAACTTCTTTACGAACTTGCAGCTGAAAGA